AGGGGGTTGGGGTCCCCGCATCCCGCGGAGGCCGTCCGACGCCCGCCCCCGGCCAGCCCACCCCTGACGCCGAGGGCAGCTCCAAAGGCCTCCGCGCGCGCGGATCGCTCGGGCCGTCTTGAGGAGGTGTCCATTTTATCAGACGCGGACTTCGCCGCGCGTCCACGTCGGCGGGGGTCGCCCCGGTGCGCTGCCTTCACCACGTCGAAGGCCCTGAACGGGGGCTCCGTGTCGTCCCCAGGGGGTTGGCGCGGGGGGGAGGGCCCCAGCCCCTTCCCGGGTGGACGACGGGCACCCGGGGAGCCCGCCCTGAGGGCGTCCGAAAGCGACCGGGAGGAGGAGTCCTCCGCGGAGGTGACGCCGGGGCCCGTTCATTTGCCCAACTACAACGACCCAAGCGATAGGGTGGAAAGCGAGTCGGAGGTGTCATGTCGGTGGGTCCCTCACTATACTTTGCCCAGACAAAACCCAATGAGGTTCGGAGGAGGAGGAGGGGGGCGGCGGCGGTGGAAGCGACCAGCCAGCGGCTTCATCCCGACCTGTTTTTCATACTTCAATGAATTCAGAGGCAGTTGTGCTTGTGGTAGAAGGAGCTTCCCTTCCCCTCGGTTAGCTAATACGATGAGCGACTTTATATCTGGCCGTTCCATCAACCGAGAGCCGGTAGGCGCGTCCAAGCGATACAGAAGGTATCCGTTCACTTCGGTGGAAAGTAAACAGACCACACCAGCAGCCACTCCTCGGGTTCACTCCGTAGTTATGCGAGAACGTCTTTGGGAAAGTCCCTGGACGCGGCAAAGTACGGTTGGCTTATCTTCGCCTTATCTTTTGAGCTCTTTGCCTCCATGCCAACGCAATGACCCGGTACGCCTTTCGCAAATGTACCGCCAAATGTGGACTCGGATGGATAAGAGGAATACCAGATCGACGCAGCGAGTCATATGGGAAACACGCTGTGATCTACTCCGCTGCTACGCGAGGTGAGTTATGTGATCTCACGAAGGGAAAAAAAGGAAAGAGGAAACATCATAACCAGTATGGACATATTTTCGCTCGCTTATGGATAAAAAATTTCTTTACAATGTATATATATATATATATATATATATATTGTCTTTTGCTTTTATCAATACACCATAGAAATTGTAATCAGCTGAAAGTCTTGATTTCACATAGAGTATGTTATTATCACTTTAAGACGTTTTTATTCTCAACTTGATATCGGCACATCTGCTATATTGATGTTGTTGGTTCTTTTAGACATATTCTTCTATTACACTGCATAAAATTCTAGGCTAACTTGTTGAAACGACTTTGTTGCGCTCCTATTGCATATGCGACTGTGTTCATCATTATTTAGCTCTGCTACTTACCTTCCATATTCTGCATTTTTAAAGTTAGTAGCGGCTTTTCTATTTATAGGCTTTTATTTAAGGTGTTCTGTTAGTTATCTTCAACCAAACTGTTATAATATATATATATATACAATTAAATTAAAAAAACAGTTAACAGCACCTCAAGATTAAGATGGCATTTACTTTTGCACCCGCGTCATCTGCACCGAATCAAGCAGGAATGCAAAATAACTTTAAACCCGGCACATTCAGCTTTTCTTCAACACCTTCAGCACCACCTCAAACAATGGCAAACACCGGATTCGGTACGTTCAACACTGGCTTCATGAAGCCAGGCGGGAACTTTACATCAGGCACAGGTATTAACAGCAATCCCATTGGTGTCGGGTATTCTGGCGTTGGGTTTCCCAGCAGTACCGAATCTGGCTCTGCCATCACTGGGTTGAATCCCAATGCATTCGGTTCTAACTTGACTCAACAACTTCCTCCTTACAAAGGTATCAAAGGCCCGGGATATGCACCGATATGGCAAAATACAGTTGATTTCTCTCAGATCAACGACCACACGCTTTTCGACTCACTGCCGCCCACCCTGCAGAATCATCTTATGGAGTTGCACACCTTTGCCAACAAAGAGGAGGAGTCCATAAAGGCGGTGACGGACTACTTAAATGACATTAAACCCACAGGTATCGAAAAAAACGCCGCCCAAACCACAAAGAATGTGAATTTGGGAAGCTATCGGCATCAATCTCATTTATTAGCAGAACTGAAAGGTGGCAATCATGCGGTCTCATTACTCGCGGTGGGTTGTGAACACCATGAGAAAGAGGCGCAGTCTTTCTCGCAGTATCTAGACCAATTCGAAAGTGCTATCCATGAATATCAGCATCGTGTGTGGGAACCTTTGTTAGCGAGCGGCAACCTCACCCGCGGCAAGACCAACAGCATCAGCAATAGTCTGAATGACTCGAGTTCATTAAACCGCAACATGGATGCGAAATCTCCGCTCTTCACGATTATTGAGGAACTGCAAGATGTCATGCGAACGCTAAACAACCAAATAGAGGAGCTCAGAATGGATGTGATGCCTTCTTTGACCTCTAATTCCTTAGTCAATGTTGCCGACTCTGCAAAATCCGACAGAAGCTTAGGCCATTACGGGCCGACTGCGTATTTCTCGCGTGGGGAGGGTAGAACTCCTTTATATGGCAATCTATCCCATGTCGACTACGCTGATCGGCCGGACTGCGTGCAGTACCATCCAACCTTCTCGCCGCTGAACGGGACTTCACCCTCGACGTTGGCGGGGTCTGCCTTGGGTGAGGACCCCGCTCCCCCCTCCGAGGTCGTTTCCCATATTAACACTTCCTTGGGTAATCTTTTCACCAGTCTGATGCATCTTTCCAGTTGGGCCGATCACCTGCACAAACGCAGCGATACCGCGCGTGGGATTTTCACCCGGCAGTACGGCCAATACGAGGCCGATGTCTTGTTTAAACCGCCGATGCCCTCGCAGGAGACCCGCACCCTCGCGCCGATCCCCACGGCCGCTCATCCAATTCCCACCACAAACCCCCCTCCCGCAGGGGCTCCTCTTCCTCCTCAACCGACAACGACAACGATAATAAATCCCACCCCATCGGTGGGGGGAGGGGTAGGCGGAGGGACAATTGGACAGGGATCCGCCGGGTTGTTTGGAGGGGGGAAGACAAAACCCACCACCTAGGTCGCTTTGCGAGGTTCGCTTTGACGGCTTGAGGATTCCTTTGAAATTGGTTCTTGGGGTCGCCTCCTCCGTATGGGAATGTACTAAGTATAATTACGCCAGGGTGTATGGCTTTGGAGGGTCACTATTTAGAGCTTTAGGGGGTAGGATGGCTCAGTTTTTAGTCTCGAAGCAGTGGGAACTGAATTATTAGATAGAAATGACACAATTTAATCTATTTACATATTTAACAATATCGCATCATTCCTACAAGGAATTCGCTTTTGATGTGTCGTTTTTTCTTCATTTTTCATAGAAATTCACCCCCTTCAATGATGCTACTTAATTCTGCAATCCCATACCATGTATTTCAAAAGATTATCTATGTTTCCTATAAAAGTCAAGTTATATAAACTGGGAGGGGATTAGATTTTTCCTCCAGTTGTAACACTTCCTCATACATACATATCCACACACAACTTACACATTAGTTAGCTGCGTACTTGCGCTATCATTTCCTTCTGCTTCGGTGTGTGTTTATGCTTAATACTAAATAATTACCAGCACAAACAAAGGTCTAAGAGGTTTTCATTAATTCTAATTTATATTCAAGTGTCTTTAGTTTTTTGTTTAGTTTCTATTATTTTTGAGACTCGATTTTCATGATATATATAGAGTGAACACTTATTTTTTGTTGCTTGAATTTTTGTTACATCGATGATATTTCGGGTGTCTTTGTTGAGGCAATTTGCAAGTGGGCGCATCCTTCTGGCAAAGTTGCCACAAGCCCCTACAACCGATGCTCTGATTATTGTCCGTGAAATATACCGAAATGGTCATGACCTTGCGATTCGCTTTACCCCTTCGCCGGTTCTTTTATCCTCCCTGCAGGAAGGAACCGGGTTGGGGCCTCATTGGAAAACGCCGAAGGACCACCTACCACCACACACAAAGGGAGTCCATAACATTCAGGAGGTCGTCCGTCCACCCTTTTCCAACTTATGGAGTAGCCCCTATCGGGGGAAGGAGGGGGCCCTGGCACTCCTGCCCGAGACACCTCCGCTTCGCAGTCAGGGCGGGTCATATTTGGACAACGACAAGAGGGGGGTGGGAACGGTGGACTCCGCGTGGTGTAGCTGCGCAGCACTTTTATACCCTTTAGTACCTGAGAACGCCACCTCTGTTGGGGTCTACAATGGACACGAAAGAACTAGGGAAGAGGCACAGGTTCTCGATGCCTTTGTTTTGGGTCTTAAGCTCAGCGGTACCGAGGATATCTTACGAGGCGTTATCGGGGAGCATTCTTATGCCCAGCTGGTGAGTCCTGTTCTCGCCTTCCAGGCCCAAGTTGTCTCTTTGTTCGCGGACCACCGGGATCTCGTCCCATATTCTCTTTCCAGAGATCCCTCAAACCAATCAGGGCTGTCTGAAGCCTACGCACACGTCTGGCTCGCGCATACCTTGTTAAGCGCGGATGAGGAAAATCGAGTGAAGTGGATGTGTGAGGAGATGGACGACAGCAGCGCATGTTATGCTCGTTCCCCCACGCTTCGAAGTCTTTTGGTGTTGTGGTATGTCGCGTCGTCATCCTCGACGGTTGGGGGGGAAGTCGCGGATGGTTTACGACCGAGCTGCTGTCCTTCAGCTTCGGACGTCGCGCAGGCCTGTCAACGCATGAGGGATCGATATGCGGAGATGACGGTATGCGATCTGGTGGCCTTGGGAATGTTCGGCGCCGTGGACTCAAAGGTGCGGGAAGAGGTTCTGGCAAACTTCATCGAAAGGTTGCACCCAAGTCAGGTTGCTCCCCCGTCTGTGGACACTCGTAGTAACACCTCTCCCAAAAATGACCTAGAGCGTATCATAGTAGTGTTATTTCTTCTCAAGTACATGGGGAAGCAGAGTGGAGTAGGCCGTGTCGGCACCTCCATGATGTCGGCACTGGATGATGAGAAGAATAGCAGTGAGGTTCTATTTTCATTGCTCGACATAGCCACACAAATATCCGCATACAAAGAAGAACTTACTGGAAAGTGGAACCACCATGGTAATAATCAGTCGTTGACAACCGAGAATGATCCTTCTTCTTCCGTGCATCCATCCATGACGCGTGATACGAACTCTGAGAAGAATGTGAGTGATAACTATCAAAAGACTTTAATATGTATTATGGACTACTTTTTGAGCCGTATCAAATTGGCGATGTCGCAGTGCGATATTCCGAGTACCAGTACTCATCTATACAGCGTGACCCTCTGGTTGCTGAGGGAATTGCCTCGCAGCGATGCGTGTTATCGACATTTCCGGCGCGTGGTTGAGCATTCTCAGGCAGATGCCATTCTTCTGCTCGAAAAGGCCGGTCTTCTTGACAAGTCAACGCTTAACCTTCAGTCGGTAGTGGAGGTGCTGTTGTCTTTGCTAGAGCACTGCGAAAGGGAGGACCTTGTGAACACGGTAATGCAGGAGGTCATCATCTCGCTCGAGCATCGTCTACGGCACGACCCAACCTCCTTCACACAGGATGACATGAAGTGGCTTTCCATGCTCGGCACGAGCCTGTTCACGAAGGATGAGAACGAGGCGGTGATTGGCTCCAGCTTTATGGACAGAGGGATCCGCGAGCAAATGGAGGAGTTGAATGTGATGGATGGCAGCCCCTGGGCGTTGTGTGTGGCGACGTATCGCTCACTAAAAGAGATCGTCCGGGCTCTCACGCATGATCAGCGAAGCCTGCGGCGGCAGGTCCAGGAACAGATGCGGGTCATTGCTAAAGCAGCGGGTAGGCCTCAGGCGACGCCGACGCAGCTGATTACTTCTCAGACTCAAAAGTCTAGACATAATTCCGCAGACTTTTCATCATCGTCGTCCGTAGCGAAGGAAAAGCAAATTATTCAAAACGAAGAGGGCTGTGGCGACGCTAGTGATCATGATAAAGATAATGACGCGCCCAAACAGCGGGTCCTGGATATTTCCTCCAGCGTCCGCCATCGTTTTCTGCACTTTCTTGAGAAGCTTGTCAAGACCCTCGTTTATGTGCGCTCGGGCAGCACAGGGCAGCCTATCGTCGTCAGCTCTGAGATGTTTGACTTCGTCAATCAAAACGTACCAGTCCCGAACATTCAGGACGAATATCGGCGCAAAATTTTCCTTCTGATGAATGTTACCGTTGACGGGAAAACAATGCGGGAACGCGAACTAAAATACAAACAGAGTGTAGGAAAGAAAAAGAAGGCGAAATCACCTCCCGAGCATGCGGAGAGTGAGGATGGTGAGCCCACAGAGGTAATTCCAGTTGAATTACGCTTTCTTGTGAATTCCTTGCCCCTAGTTCTTTCCCCGTGGGCTAGCGTAATGGTGCTACGGGATGTCCTCGCGGAATCACCTGGAGGGAATCCACGCTATACCTATGTCTTGAACGCTGCCATTGATCTTCAGCTGCCAATCTCAACGACGCGCTCGCGGATAGCGACTACGCTGAATATGTGGCGTTTTCTCAACACCCAAACCCACAAGCTTTCCCTGAAAGAGAGCGTTATGGTGAGGCAGCGCTGTGTGCTGAACTTGCCACTTTCCTATATTTTGTCCTCCTACTGGTCCCTCTTAACGTGGTTGGTGCTGACGAGTCTTGTGGTGCTCAACATTGTTGGCCTTGATGTGGAATCACAGCTGGTTGTTAATAAGCTTTTCCAGGAGTTTTCTCCATGGGATGAGATCGTGATGAGGGAGTCGGACCCACTCTATGAGGAGGCCGCCACAGATACCGTCTCGGAGTATGTAAATTCGTTTATGCCTCATCACACGCTGAAAAGTTCGGTATCATTGTTATCCTCTGATAAGATTCTTTCCTCAGCCTCCTATCTCTTTCTGGGCTCGCCTGATCAGTGGCGCCCGATGACGATTATGCCGATTGGCAGCGATCCTAGGGCAAAGAATGAGGCGCGAGCGAGTGAGGAATATGCATGTGTGATGGCACTTCTGAAGAAGATGTCATCTTCCGTGGTGTTTCCATTCTACGTTGATCTACCGCGCATGATGCCCGTAAAATACGTTGAGGCGCAGGTCGCGGAGCGTATTCGGCGAGTATCGCTTACAAACACATGGTTTTTGCTCCGCACGCTAATTCGGACCTTTCCGTTGGGCCGTGAGCAGATAGAGCGGACGTTGATCTCACACACCTGTGCGCAGGCCAATCTCATCCAGCGGCGGATCACTTTTTTGATGTATGTTCAGGATGGGGTGCCCATCACAGAGCAATTTTTGGTGGGTTTGAGGGGTAGTCTTCTTTCGCACAACGCTAATTTGGTGGTGGTGGTGCACGAATCGAGCTTGCTTAAGGGCGGGGTTACCCCGGAGCGGCTTCACGCCTTAACTGGGGATGCGAACGTAGATGTGGATATGCACAAAGAAAAAGAAAGCCACGTTGGTAATGGGTTTGAAAGGAAGAAGAAGGGGCTGCAGGTGCTCCCTTGCTCTCGACAGCTTCATAAACTACGAGGTGGGGCGCTCCGCGGTGGGAGAAATAAAAACGCCAACCTTTCCTTATTCGCCACGCAGTTTGGCCTCAAGATCCGACAAGCTGATTCGCTTGCCCGCGTTGAGCGCAAGACGGATGACCTTCAAACCGGCATGGTGGTGGAAACGTTTTGGCAAAGGGCAAGTATAGAAGCCAAACGAATGATAGATTTATTCAGGGAAAGCAGCCTTGGGCATGCAGTGTTGGTCTCTCGTGATGAGAACATTATAGAAGAGTATAAATCGGAGTGTACCCCTGTAAAAACAGACCCTACTTCACAGTTGTGTGTACTGAGGTACTTGACTTTGACTAAGCATCTAGCGTGGCTTATCTTCCACTGGGTCCTTGCCCGATGGAGAGAGTATCTTAAACAGATCCAAAAGCCATTGTTTCTCGTACCTCAAAATCGGTTATTCTTATATAATGGTTCCATAAAATCTATGAAAAGAATGTGGTGCTCTTCACTTAGTTATCCTTAAGCGTATGCTGCTCTTATTTATCTCTTCCTTTCCATTATTTTGGTTTATTGCTACCTTTTATTATTATTGAGTGATATCGTCAGTACTCAAAAAGTGTAAATGTAAGATAATCACAAGATGGGAATTCGAGAATCGACCTTACTAAGTTACTTTATCTGGTTTTATTGCATTGTAGAGTTTTATTGAGCTTTTTAATGACATCGTTAAAATTTACCTCGTTCTTTTCTTCGTGCAAACTTGAAAGTTCTTTTTAGCCTTCTTTCATCGTATACTTGGTTGTATTTTAAAAACCAAAAAGTCCCATCTTCATTTCCTCAAGAAGAATTTTTTTTCTATATCAGTGCGTCCTTTTCTACTGTTATTATTATTATTATTATATATCCTATTGACTCCAAATGGCTAACATAGTGGAGCTAGACCGGATGCTGCGGACAGGACCTCTCCTAAATGAGAAAGTCCTAGGTCGATGGATTTTGCTCAGTGATATCTCCAATGCGAGTGAGTATTACAACGCTGACGAGGCGACGACTTTCACTGCCGTACAGAATGTCTCCAATGTCATTGTGACCCGCTACCTCAACAGCAACAATAAGGATGAAGTTTCTTTGCATTGTAAGACGAAATTCTGCATTTTACTGAACAACTTCGCCCTCTATCTACCTGTTCGAAGAGCCGTCTTCGCGTCGTTGCAGAAGCTCACCAGTGTCTTTGAGAACTCCATCACAGACGAAAGTAAAATGCCGTTCGAATCGGAGTTGGGGAGGATGTCGGAACACGTGCTGGTGCTGCTGATGCGATGCACTGACTACAATCTCAAAGCCTCAGCCGTTCACGAGTTCACGGAAGGCCAAACTCAGTTTGCTATTCAACTCCTCCTGGCGATCCTTCTGAAAGAACCGCCTTACGAATTTGATTTGCGATGTAATTGCATCACCGGCATCTACGGATTCACGCACCCACAAGCTTTCTTCATCCCTGGTGAGGATATCAAGGAGAATCTGTGTACAAAATTTACTGATAAGCTAAACTTTATTCTTAATCATATGCTTCGTCTGCGGGCAACACAAGTAGTAAGCGATGTGTTAAAAGAAGCTATGCTTGTGAACGGCACGAATCAGACGGTACTACGGCGCGGCGTTACCGATATGATGCGCTCCATTATGAATATCTTCAAGTTCAGCACCAACCGCTCGTCGGAATGGCGAAGCCATGTTCTTAACCAAACAACCTTTATTCAAGAAACTGTCTCGATGCACACACAATCGCTTGTTGATACTCTGGAAAAGCAGCTCGTGAAGACTCCTTCTGCTGTTTCCACAGATTTGCTGAAGTCCCTTCATTTAACAATTAGATTCTGCGTATTTGCGACGTACCACCACAAGCAAGCCGTTAAGATCCGAGACTCCTGCTCTTTTTTCGGTGTTATTTTTGCGCTGCCGATCCAATCGCTTCTTACTGATCCACGAAAGTCGTCTATTGTGAAGGCTCTCTACATCAGTATATTTCATTTTATGTGCAATATGAACGCCCTCGACAACAGCGTCCTTCCCGAAAATGAACTACCGTTGGAGATTCAAAGTGCGGAGCTTGCGCGCTTGCTGGAGGCCTTCCTTGAAAGCGAAGTGGTAGGTTGCGGGCTGGAGATCGTGCAGGCTTGGTATAAGCTATTCATGGAAAACAACATGGAGTGCCCGCACGAGACAGACAACGTGACCTGTAATGAAATAGACGCCATTTTTGGTAGAATCCTGCGGCGACTTCACCCTTTCGGTGTCTCCGACACGGCGTCCCGCCTGCAGACGTCCTCACAGAGCGACCGAACCGCGACAATTTCGCGAACGGCGTCGGAAAGGGCGAGTGTCGTGGGGGGGGCGAAAACGTCCCTGAACACCTCTCAGTCCGGAAAAAGAAATTCCTACTCTCGGCTTCGTCCGGAGGGGATGGAACCGGACTTCTGCTGTGCGCTCACCGGGGAGCTGATGAAGAACCCGGTGAAGTCGCCCTACGGCCACTCCTTTGATAAGGAGGCGATTTTGCGTTGGATGAATGAAAACGGCTCGGTGTGCCCGATGACGGGGAAGCCGTTAGAGGCCGCGGGGCTCGTGCCGGACACCGCCACAGGGGCAAGAATTATGCAAATGATCGTGGCACAGAGCATGGCCACTGAGATTACGGAGGAGGAGATGTACAATTTCTAAAACAGTTTCCTTTTCCT